GTGATAAAGAACCATCTCCCTTAAAAGGGGAAGTAGGTTAAATAATTATTTTATGTGATATACCATCCTTTTATTCAATAAGTAATCACACAAAGTACCTACTATGTGCTCTGCTCTTCTGTAGGCACTAGAAATAGAGAAATGAAAGTAAAATGCTACCCTCAATAGCTTTTATTGGGGGGTGGGGTCTTGCTCTGTTGCTCAGACTGGATTACAGTGACACAACCATGGATCACTGCAACCTTGATCTCCTGGGGTCAAGCAATCCTCCTGCCTCAGCCTCCCAAGTAGTTGGGACTACAGGTGCACGTTACCATGCCTGACTAATGGTTTGGTTTTTATACAGACAAGATCTCATTCTGTTGCTCAGGTTAGGGGGGCTTAAGGTGTCCTCAAACAATCCTCCCACCTTTGGCCTCCCAAAGTGCTAGGATTACAGCTCTGAGCCACTGTGCCCAGCCCTGCCCTCGGTAGCTCTTGACATAGTGCTAAACTAGATAACTATTACTAAAACACAGTTTAGAAGTTACAAAATTTTATGGAAGCCAAAGGAAGGCTATCATAATTCAACTTGGATCTGAATCAGGGAAATCTTCCTAAGAAGGACGTGGCTTAAATCTCAAAAAGAAGTAGGATTCAGATGAGAGGAGGAGGAAGGGTGTTGTGGATGAGAATTGTGAGTAAGAAGGCAGTGAGATAGGCTGCATCCTGGAATCTGCATTTTGGGTCAGGCCAGAGTGAAGGGTACACATATGGGGTATGAGTGTGGCAGGAGATGAAACTGGAGTTTAATGTCATCAAGGACATCAGGCTAAAGTTTTTTTGTTTGTTTGTTTTCTTTTCAGACAGAGTTTTGCTCTTGTTGCCCAAGCTGGAGTGCAATAGTGTGATCTCAGCTCACCACAACCTCTGCCTCCTGCATTCAAGCGATTCTCCTGCCTCAGCCTCCCAAGTAGCTGGGATTACAGGCATGTGCCACCATGCTTAGCTAATTTTGTATTTTTAGTAGAGACGGTGTTTCACCATGCTGGTCAGGTGGGACTCAAACTCCCAACCTCAAGTGATCCACCTGCCTCAGCCTCCCAAAGTGCTGGGATTACAGGTGTGAGACACTGCGCCCAGCCTAGGCTGAAGATTAATGTGCGTCAGACACCATCTGTTCTTGCCGCCTCACAATTTCCCAATGACTACATCAAAAATAATTCCCAGTCTGCATATGTGGCTCTCCTGTGTGCTAAGCACAGCCCCAAGAGAGGAAGACACTTCAGTGAGATGACCAAGCTTCTCCACAATGCCTCTGAAATGTCACTGTCCTGGATGTTCGTAGGGTCAGCTTCACTATACATGAACTTGATGAGGGGCTTTCATGAAGAAAGAAACACGGGGCTTAGGACAACTGGGTATAGTACACTAAACATCTTCTATGTAGGATAAGATCTTTTTATCTTCAACCACAATATTGCCATTATTGTTGCTTCATTTAGTCTTTTTTACTTACACAGCGCTTTACTGTTCTTAATGGCTTTTATTTACAGGACTTCATTTGATCTTCCCTACTGTCCTCTGTGACTTGTAGAATGGATTCCATGATATCATCAAACAGGTAAAAGGCCTAAGGTCTAGAGTGTTGAGACAATTTGCCTCTCCTCATTTGTAAGTTGTTGATCCAGGACCAGAATTGCAATGAACAAATATTTTCTCGGCCTTGATCTCCTGGAGACCAAACATCACATCTTTTAATTATTGTCGCCTTCCCAGTGCTTTATATAGGCACTTAACCTATACTTGCTGAGTTAACTTGAAATAGTGATTACGAACATGGGCTTTGAACTCAAAGGAGACCTGGATTCAGCACCTGTTTTTTGTTTGTTTTGAGTTTGTAGGCATATTTTTTTTAGCTTTCATTTCAGGTTCAAGGGTACAAGTGCAGGCTTATGATATAGATAAAATCCATGTCGGAGGGGTTTGAGATACAGAGTATTTCATCTCGCGAGTATTGAGTACTAAGTAAAGTAGGTAGTTTTTTGATCCTCACCCTCCTCCTACCCTCCACCCTCAGGTAGGCCCTGGTGTCTGTTGTTCCCTTCTTTGTGTCCGTATATATTCGATGTTTAGCTCTTACTCATAAGTGAGAACACAGCATCTAGTTCTTGATATACTTCGGCAAGTCATTTAACTTATCAGAGAAGCAGGTTTTTAATTTATAAATTCACTATTGGCTGGGTGTGGTGGCTCAAGCCTGTAATCCTAGCACTTTGGGAGGCCGAGGTGGGTGGATCACCTGAGGTCGGGAGTTCAAGACCAGCCTGGCCATCATGGTGAAACCCCATCTTTAAAATAATAATAATAATAATAATAAATTCACTCATAATGCTTTCTCACATGGTTGTTGTGAGAATCAAATGAGATGATGTAAATGAGGCACTTAGCATAGTGCCTGGCACGCAGAATTACTGAAATATGCTAAGGATTATTACTAGCTTGATCACTGTTTCTTGTCAGTTATTTTTTTATTATGCAGAAATTTAAATGTACTTAAAAGTAGGCCAAATAGCACAGTGAACCACTGCATAACTAAACACAAAGCTTAAAAAATTATCAGATCATGGCCAATTTTGTTTTCTCTCTATCCCCATCTTTTTTCATTCTTTCTATTATTACTGTTATTTATTATTATTATTATTTTGCAGACAGGATCTTGCTCTGTCACCCAGGATAAGTACAGCTGCACAATCATAGTCCACTGCAGCCTTGAACTCCTGGACTTAACCAATCCTCCTGCCTCACCCTCCCAGGCAGCTGGGACTGCAAGTGTGCACCACTGTGCCCAACTAAGCTTCCTTATAATATATTTTTTGAGACAGGGTCTTGCTCCATTGCCCAGGCTGGAGTGCAGTCTTGCAATTTCAGCTCACTGCAACCTCCACTTCCTGGGTTCAAGTGATTCTCCTGCTTCAGCCTCCTGAGCAGCTGGGATTACAGGTATGCATCACCAAGCCCAGCTAATTTTTGTATTTTTAGTAGAGACGAGGTTTCACCCTGTTGGCCAGGCTGGTCTAAAACTCCTGACCTCAAGTGATCTGCCAGCCTTGCCTTCCTAAAGTGCTGGGATTGCAGGGGTGAGTTACCATGCCTGGCATGTACAAGCAGTCTTACAAAATGTTGGGAAGAATGGTGTGGTGGAAACATGTAAAGGTGACCCTCACTGAGTTACCTCTTCTCTTCATTGTGGGCAGAAACTGTGAATCACTTCTAATCAACAGAGATTGGTGACAGTGATGGAATGTCACACCCTTGTTTAGGCTATGCCATATGAAAAAGACCATCTCTCTTTTCTAAGGCTTAAGAAGCATTTTTACAGGGAATTTCTAGGTTAGCTGAAAAGCCAAGAAAAGCCAGCATTTGCTCCGAGGAGTATCACTGTGCTATAATACTCTTCTGGCATTCCCTGACTTTTCAGTGGAGAAGGTTCTAGTATTTTTGCAGTCTGCTGGATTTGACTGGTGGGCCTGAGCAAGACGGTGCCAGGAGAGAGTTGTCAACTCTATCTAATTTCATTTAAAGGTCTGGTAAAAAAAATTCCTCCTGCATAGATTAGAGTGAGGATATGAGTCACAGCAGGGAGACTTTCAACCTGAGGCTACTAGAGAGAACTCCCAAGTACTAAGTCAGGTGACACCGACTTGCACTCTCACCAATAGTAGTAATTAAGAGCTGGACTTCAAAGTAGAGAAAAGGAAGGAGTCCTGAAGTAACTGATTTTTCAAGGTGTAATTACCCCAGAGAAAAACTAAAAATCTTCTTGGGATACCAGGGAAACTGAGGCACATACGTGTGTGACATAGGCATACACACACATACTGTCAGACATATGCAGTCACAGAAGCTTTACTAAGTAACCCAGGACTTTGGAGTCAGAAAATCTTTAATTTTTAGAATACATGTAATGAGGCTGGGTGCAGTGGCTCACTCCTGTAATCCCAGTACTTTGGGAGGCTGAGGCAGGCAGATCACTTGAGGTCAAGGGTTCGAGACCAGCCTGGTCAACATGGTGAAACCCTGTCTCTACTAAAAATACAAAAATTAACTGGGTGTGGTGAAATGCACCTGCAATCCAGCTATTCAGGAGGCTGAGGCAGGAGAACTGCTTGAACTTGGGAGGCAGAGGTTGCAGTGAGCCGAGATCGCGTCACTGCACTCCAGCCTAGGCAGCAGAGAGAGACTTCATCTCAAAAAAAAAAAAAAAAAAAAAAAAAAGAATACATGTAATGTTTACATTGTATCCTTTACAAAAGAGGATAAGGAGCAAGCTTGTGAATTTTTCTTTGCTTGTGTCCCTAAAAGTCTGGAGGGACCCTGTTGAGGCCACACACCTATTAACACTTGGAGATGCTCTTGTTCATGGCTCTCCAAGACCCCTCCAACCTTTGATGATGGCAGAAGTACAGACACATATCAGTTCTGCCCAGGCATCTGTTATCTGTCTCTTCTTGGCTCCCTCCAGTCCCCAGAGATACACAGACTTGGGAATACTTTGAGCTGCAGGAGTTTTCTAGAATACCCAGGTTATTTCCATCATTTGAGAGAGGAGGAAACCGAACCCCGGAGGAGTGCAGGAATGTAGTCTAGGTCACAGAGCCAGTCAGATGCAGTGATAGGACCAGCAGCCACAGCCTTGTCCTCTTCCCACCCCTCTCCTGTTGCTATCCCACATATGCTGGAGGCAAGAGGTGGGTGGACATTCAAGAAATGCAAACTCATGCTAATATTTGAATATTAAAGTTTGATATTGTAATTTTAGCCTGAAACAAAACAGTTTTAAAAAGGTACATCTGCTGAAACAAATTAAATAATGCATTTCTGGCCTCAATACACAAGACTGACTCATTTGGCCCTGTGATTTTCTTCCTGGTAGCAGAGCTGGCCTGCACAGCATGGGTGGAGAGGCAGCAGGGCTTCCTGGGACCTCCCTTCTTTAAAAAAAATTTTTTTTAACTTTTAAAAATATGGAACTCTTCATGAATTTGTGTGTCATCCTTGCACAGGGACCATACGAATCTTCTGTATCATTCTAATTTTAGTATATGTGCTGTCAGAGCGATCACCTGGAGCCTCTCTTCTACTGGGCATTTCTTCTTTCTCTGCAGTTTCATTCCTTGAAGCCCTCTGCTTCCACACAGTGGACCCCAATTGTTTTGTGTACTTAAGGGCACCTTTCTGTCACTACAACTGACGTTTCATGTGATCACCAGGTAACTCACTTTGTTGGTTTTTTAGAGATGCCATAACAATGGACTATTAACTGAGTGGCTTAAACCACAGAAATTAATTTTCTCACAGTTCTGGAGGCTGGAGGTCCAAAATCAAGGCAGGTGCAGCATTGGCTCCTTTGAGGGCTGTGAAGTCTGAGACAAAGGAGCAAATGCAAGAAGCCGTATTTGCTCACTTCTGCTTGGTAGCATAATCTCAAAGCCCTTGATGCTGTGACAAAGTGCAGCTCTCTGGGAGGATGCTTTGAAGACAAAACAGGATAGAGCACAGGGCCCCCCATGTCTCTTGCCTGGGTCACTAAATTCCTTGAAAGATAAATGACCCTAGCCCTTGACTTTTCCTATACTCTATAAAACAACATCTGATGCAAATAGTGATCACACGTATGTAGTTTATAACCAGATATACTGTGATATCCAAACCTTGATGTAACTTTAATGTAGCTTCTCTGCAAATTTGATGTGATTTTGCACATACTAAACCTCCACCACCTGTGTAGAAGCATCGGCTTAAATACTGTGTTGGTGCAGTCTGATAGAACCTCTCTAAAGGGCTGCTTTTAGGCTATTGGCCTCAGTCTGTCCTCAGTAAGGCTTCTGAATGAGACTACCTTTAATTCTTTAAAAGCTTCATTTTTTCTTTAGTAAACAGAAGGAGAAATCTTTCCTAGGCTCTTCTCATTGGTCTGCAATCACTATCCCCTCCGTGTGTCTTCACATCATCTTCCCTCTGGATGTGTCTTTGTCCAAATTTCCTCTACTTACAAGGACTCTCGTCCTTGTAAGCATATATATTTAGTAAGTATCTATATTCACCAGTCCTTGTAAGTATGCATATTAGATTGGGGCCCACTCATTAACCTCGTTTTTGCTTGATTACCTCTGTAAAGACCCTATCTTCACATAAGGTGATATTAAGGTTACATTCTGAGATACTAGATGGGGCACAGTTAGGGCTTCAATATGGGAATTTGGTTGCAGGTGTGGGGGGATACAATTCAATCAACAACCCCCAGCCAAACTGGTAGCCTGCTTGCAGTAGGTAGGAGGAGAAGATAGGACTGGTTCTCACTGCTCTCAGCCCACTATTTCCCGCCTGCATGAGCTGGGGCAGATCCTGCATCTTTGTAAGCCTCCATGCCTGTGCTTTAAAATGAGCAGAAGTCACTCCTGCTTCCAGAGCTGTGATGACAAATAAACAGGATAACATTTGGAGACAGCTCTGGGATGACATCTGATACATTAAAGACTCTCAATAATTGTTCTCGTTCCTACTTTGGTCCATAGTGAGAGACTATTCACAGGTAAGAGCTCTTTCTATTCTCTAAAAGAGAAACCAGACAAAACACAGGCACACATCTGCCCTTAGAAACTTCTGTTCAAATGAAACTTCACAAATTAAAACAAACAAAACCAAGAGGTGAAATAAAGAAAGTAGAGTGGTGACTCAAGTTTGGGGCCACTCAGGCCTCCCTCTGGATATTTACAGTCACAAAGAACACTTGGCCATACCTTCTTTCATTGCTTCTCTAATTAGGCAGAGGGACTGCTTGGATATTTTGTTAAAAATAATAAAAACAGCAACATTGTGTTGTTTTTCTTACAAAAGGAATATGTATAATATTGTATAAAATGAATAAAAAGTCATATTCATATCACATATTTGGGAATATCATGTCATACTTTTTCAATAAATACCTGTTGCCATTTTTATTGTAAAAAGTTAAATCATATAATAATTGCTATCTGATAACATCTTCATATTCACCATGTTGACAATGTATTCTGAATATCTTCTTATGTTAATACATATTCTTCTCTATATTATTTTTAATGGCTACATAGGTTTTTGTTGTATAAATAATGAATCATTATTTACTTAGCTATTCATTATTGATGAACATTTAAGTTATATTCTGTTTTTGAATTATTGTATTTTTGTTAGAAATCAATGCATTGATGAGCTTTCTTAATTTTTCCACGTCTCCCTGTTCTTTCCACTGGAGAATTATTAAACTTTAGATGTATAGAGCCAAATGGGCTAGCTGGGATGGTGGAAAAGGGAAAGAGACAACTTCCTCACAGAGCTCCATTTACATTAGTAAAGGGAGCTATGCAAGTGTTTATAGATCTATGGGGAGAAACTTATTATACCTATGCCTCAAATAAATCGGTTACCAAACTGTTTCTGAAAAGGAACAACTGCTAGAAGCACATTCCAAAATGATGGGGAGAAAAAATTTAATCATTAGAGTTCAGAATAAGGTGCAAATGAGTGATAGAGGACTCTGGAGAGGGTGCCTGATTGGAGGGAAAATGCCCAAGGAAGGAAGCAGGCAGACAGGGAAGACTGAAAAGGAAGGAGCAGACTTCCTCTGTGGTTTCACATCGAGGATATAGTAGTCTGTTTTCACACTGTTATAAAGACCCACCCAAGACTGGGTAATTAATAAAGAAAAGGGGTTTAATTGACCGATGGTTTCCCATGGATGGGGAGGCCTCAGGAAACATGCAATCATGGCAGAAGGGAACAGGCATGATTCACATGGCAGCAGGTAAGAAAGACTGGTGAGTGAAGTGGGGAGAACCCCTTATAAGCCCGTCGGATTTCAGGAGAACTCACTCACTATCATGAGAATAGCATGGGGGAAACCACTCCCATGATCCAATCCAGCTCTCTTCCTTGACACGTGGGGATTACAATTCAAGATGAGATTTGGGCGTGGGCACAAAGCCAAACCATATCAAGGGGACTGTTACCCAGGAAGTGCTGCATGAGACCCAAAATTGCCTTCAGTAAGGAACCACTCCACAACTGTTTGTGCTTTTGTGTTTACTGGGCTTTGAGGTAAAGGGCTGGGAGGCGCTCGGCCAGGATTTTCGTCCTGGAGCTTCAGCTGATTTTGTTGGACAAACTTAAGCCAGTCAATTATTGTTTTTGGGCTGAGCCTTCTAAATCTTTAAAATAAGGATAGTGCGTTAAAAAATAAATAAGGTCCTTTTTAGATTCTTTACTTTAAAAACAAGTCCAAGCCTCCTAAGATTTCACAGAGATAAAAGGAACAATTTCATGAATCAGGAGTTACACAGAGGATGGGAGAGGAAGCATGCAGGATCCTCTTCACTAAGTTTATTAAGCATCCTCTCCCACATTATTATAATCCTATCGCTCATGCTCTCCCTTCTGGGTCCTGTCAAATTACTATTCGGATCAACTGACTAATTTTGTCTGAAAAGCGAATGGAAAATCTCCATGTCATCTGATACACTTTTGCTTTGATGGATAAGGCAGAAGTTCCAAAGAGAGTGTTAGGCAGGAAAATCCGGCTCCTTCAAACTAATTGCTGCATATCTGATTTATTTCCCTCCTTAATGCTATTTATTTTGTTTTTATTCAAAATATAAAATTGCTCCCTGAGTTGGGAGATTAATGTCTTTCTTCTTGTTCAGCAACAGATCATTTGTGGGCCCTGGTTATAAATAGGAGGTTAGAATCCATGACTCATTGTTTTTTCCTTTTTTGTACAGGATATCCCCTGAGATTAATTGTGGTTACTTTTTTTTTTTTTTTAATTTAGAGACATTAACCTCTAATTATTTGCTGGTTGTTACATTACAGGTTTTTGTTTTTAGGAAAATGTAAAGGTTTTCTTCTGAGCCTTCTTCCTGGAAGATTTTTGTGGTTCAATAAACTAGAATTTTAAACATCACTGGGCAATGACTTGATTGCTTACATTTTTGATTGATTCTTCTGTTCATTCATTTAATAAATATGCATTTATTTCATGCTTACTCTGTATAAGTGATGGGAACATTCAGTCTCTTGAATGCAGCAGGGCTCTGAGTTTAAGGGTGGGAGGAACACAGAGACAAGGAATTATCACCCAGGTTGATCTGTTGTGTGCTTGGAGTTTATTCATTTGTTTATTATTTACTTACTTGCTGATTCATCCAATGTCCACGGCAGTCACATATCCTGCTGGGGTTTTACGCAAGTATGGTACATCTGGCATCCATTCCTTCATTTATTAACAAAAACAACAACCAAGCACAATCTCCTGCTAGGTGTCACTCTCCAGCTAGACCATAGACTATAGATGGAGAGAGGAAGATAATTATGAAGGGCTTTGCATGACATGCTCAAGAAATCTTGACTTAATTTGGTACCTTGGTTTTCCTTCTTTTATCTTATCTGTGCTTTATGTTACTGCCTAGCTGTTTACCTTGGGACAAGTTACTTAACCTCTCTGTACCTTGGTCTCCTTGTGCACTAAATGGTGTATCCATCAGTGCTCAGTTAAGAAAGTAGATTGCACTACAGGCATTTCCAGCAGAGAGGGATTTAATACAGGTAGTTAGTTACAGTCTTTTGGAAGAGGTAGAAGAGTAAAAGGGAGAAGGGAGAAACTCTGAGGCCAGGGAGCTCTTACCAGCCTTTGGCAGAAGCCCAGCCTGCATGTGCTTATGATTTTCTGGAGGTGCAATTGCTGTTACTGCTCTCAGAAGGTCCCTGCAGCTGTGCAGGGGGCCAGAAGGTGCACTTGTGCTGATATGTCACCACTGGGGGAAGCATCCGTGAAAACTGAGGTAAAACAAAACCAAAACAGTGCAAAAACAAACTTCCCCTTCCCTCCAGCATTTGAGTCCTGGCCTAAGGCTTGTCACTGGCAGAGCCCAACCAGGAGGCAGCTGATCACAGCCTGTGAAATGCAGTTTGCAGGCTTCCAAACCACATGCATTATGAAGATGAACACAGGAAGTCAGGAATGAAGCTGACAGCTAACAGACAAATAACCAGCATACTTGGGGACAATGATGACACCTTCCTTCTGTGC